TAAATATAGTTGAAATAGCTCTAGTAATCAGTAAAGAAAGAGATTCGCAGCATGCCTTCAAAAACATAGAGCATCAGGCTGACCAAAACCCCAAAATAGTCTGGTCATAGTTATTTTTGAATTAGAAGGGAAACATAGTCCAACATAGTGTTTCAAGAATTGTATGAAGCAGCTAAGAAACTGTAGGCCAAAATGAAATATGTGAGACACTTGGTATAGAAGCAAGGAAAATTTGGGTTAAGACCAATTCAAAGAGAAAAAGTCAAGTTCAACTGGGGGGGTTGAACCGGCCCTAAAGCGGACTTCCGCGGATTTCCACTCAAAAGACACTCGTGATTTTTCAATCTTTTGCATTTTGTGGGCTAACCATTGGGAATTGGGCTTAGGTCCAAACTGAACCAAGTCATTAATTTGTGATATCTACAACTTTCATTATTTGACCATGACCCTAAGGTGGAATTCCGCGGACTTCCACCTGGCAGTTAAGATGTCAGCTAGTAAAAGTCTGTAGTTTTGTATTCAATGATGTTCAAGTTGAAGGATGGTTTGTAGGCCTATTGAATACCTTTCTGGTCATATATGAACTGTCTTCAATAGTTAAGAACTCATTGAGTTATGGCCCTAACACTGTTTTGAAAACTCAGGGGACTTCCACCTGGCAGTTAAGTCAAGTTCAACTTTGCCTAAAGTGGAAATCCGCGGACTTCCACTTCAAAAGACACTCGTGATTTTTCACTTTTCTGTGTTTTATGGGCTAACCATTCACATTTAGGCTTAAGGCCAAACTGAACCTAGTGTTCGATTTTGAATATCTACAACTTTCATTAATTGAGCCGGCCCTAAAGTGGAGTCCGCGGATTTCCACCCTAAAAGACACTCGTGATTTTTCACTCTTTGTCAATTTATGAGCCAACCATTAATATTGAGCCTTAGGTCAAAACTGAACCTACTGTTCATTTTGTGATATCTACAAGCTCACAAAGTATGGAGTCATTTTGCCAGCCCTAAAGTGTTGGCAGTTCCAAGTCTTAGTTCAATTAACAATCAGGCTTAGGGCTCAGTGGTCAATCATAACTTGGCAAAGGTGCTGGCCCTAAAGTCCTGGCAGTTAATTACTTTAGGGCCAGTCTTATATATTTTATATACTAAGTCATTTATAAGGCCGGCCCTAGAGTCTATATTATTTATATATATAAGTCATTTATGGGGCCGGCCCTAAAGCGTGGGAAAAAAAGAAAAAAATACCCATAGTACAGAAAGAGAAGCCAACATGAGTTGTGAATGCAGGAAGAGTACAATCAACCAGATGATCCACTTGAAGCAGAAGACTTTTGTTATTCTGACTTTTTTAGCAGTTTTGCTGAGTTGCCAATCAGGTGTAGTGGCTGTATGGGAGTTCACTACTCTCCCAACAGCTTAGTGGCAGTCTTAAGGAAGACTGCCAGACCAAAGAAAATGCCACAACCAAAAAGACAGCTACTAGCAAACCACTGACAAACACACTATGACCAACAGGTTGAGCTCAGCTCGGAAGGTGTTGAACCAACCTCGCTACCCGCAGGCTTACCATAGCATATCCTATCTCCGCCAATTTAATGAAGCACAGACCAGACTGATCCACTTTCACTGTCTCCCCCAGAACCCACAATAGGAAGAGCAGGGTCATTGAAGCCAAGCTACTCTTCCATATATAAGGCAGGCCCACCCCCCAGCCCACCCCAAGTCCAAATCGCGAGACAGAGGTGTGAAAAGCGCTGTCCACAATTTCACGCACTCGGAGTCCGCAGCAAGTCCGCAGATAGTAACTTGAACTCGGGCACAACACAAATATTATTTCTTTTTTTACACAACATGGGTGGAGAAATGTGTGGTACAGTCTGCGGTAAATGAATCTATTTGCGCAAGCTCAATTCTGAACACTGAAGCTCATCTGCCATTCATTTCTCCTCCGACATTCCCCGTGCAGACGAGCCGCAGTTCCAGCCGCGCCGTGCGGTAAGCGCGCCTTACGCCGTCACGATCACCGTCGAAGACGCCGTGCCACAATGTCAGCCGGCTTACGCGCTTCACTACCTGGGCGGCCCAACATGTCATCGGCGTATTTCCGCGTCTCTCAGGCTATCTACTTCCAGTATGCACGTCCCGGCTGGCAACTGCGCAGGCGACGCGTCGCTGCGGCCATCAGGGTGTCTGAACGTGTCGGCGCTGGCGGAGGATAGCGATCTATTTGCTGCTCTGGCCCACTGGCAGTATGCACACATATATAAGCGAGGGCCGACAGCAGCCTGGAAGAACTCAAATCTACAGAAACCTGAACAACGATGGAAACCGAACCGCAAGTGCTCATCGTGCGTTCATCTCAGGGTCCGGGAATTGGCCAAACAGTAGCTCAGCGTTCTGCAGGCCGGCGCGGGCCCCTCCGGGCTCGTACTTGCGCTCATCCTCCGGCGCAGCGGCGTGCGCGTGCGGATCATCGACAAGGAGCCGGCTTACCGCCCCGGGAGCCGCGGCTCGGGCGTGCAGGCGCGCACGCTCGAGCTCTACGCCCAGCTCGGCCTATACCAAGAAATCGCCGCTTGCGGGGCGGAGATCCCGAACATCGCCCTGTACAAGCCGGGCAAGGAAAATCTGACGCCGCAGAAGGAGTTCAGGCTGACGGAGCGGGCGGAGGCGACGCCGGGGATGCCATACGTGAGGATTTATATTCTTAAGAGGGAACATTGATGGATTTGACAGCCGAACGCGCTGAACATCCCGCAAGACGCGCACGAGGCGGTGCTGCGCGGCGCGCTTGTGGGGCTGGGCTGCACCGTCGAGCTCGGCGTGGAGCTGACCAAGTTTAGTCAGCACTCCGACGGTGTCCGCACCACGCTCAAACACGCCGACGGCACGGAAGAAGTTGCCGAGGCCGCGTGGCTGGTCGGCGCGGACGGCGCGCACAGTGTCGTGCGCAAAGGCCTGGGGCTGAATTTCCTCGGTGAGACGCATGAGGAGCAGGAGATGCTGATCGGGGATATCGAGGTCGACGGTGTGTCTCCCGGGGTAAGTTTCGTGCTTTCCTTTGGCGCTAACTAACTTATTTCTATAGTTGTGGCACATGTGGGCCGACCCGCCGCGCACGATGGTGCTCCGCAGCGCGACGCCCGACTCCAACCTCTTCATGTTCGCGTACGTCCCCGGCACGCCCGGCGCGGTGCAGCACGCCGGGCCGTTCACCCGGGACGAGTTCGTCGAGACGTTTTATGAGGTCACACAGCGCACGGACATCACGTTCGGGAGGGCGACGTGGCTGTCGCGCTATCGGCCGAACATGCGCATGGTGGATCAGATGCGGGCGGGCCGCGTGTTCGTCGCAGGGGGGTACGCCATGCCAGAATCCCCCTTACTTATCTGACTGATGATTTAGATGCTGCACACTGCCATAGCCCTGCCGGAGGCCAAGGCCTCAACTCGAGTGTTCAAGACGCGGCGAACCTCGCGTGGAAGCTCGCGCTCGTGATCAACCACCATGCCCCCGAAGCGCTGCTCGACACATACGCCGAGGAGCGCCTCCGCGTGATCGCACAGATGTTACAACTCACAACTGCCTTGTACAACTCCACGTTTGACGCGCTCCGGGTGCGTGCATATATATTGTGGTCGACCCCTTGTTCTTCCGCTGATGTTTTCTTCTAGTTGAAGCAGCAGCTCGACGCGGACGGCACCGAGGATGCACCGATGGGCACGGACAGGAACGGCGCAGGGCTATCCATGCTCGGCGTGAACTACTCCGGGAGCTCCATCATCGCCGAGGACAACGACGCCGGCCCCGCCCCGGCGTACGCGCCGGGCTTCGCAGAGACCGGCGTCCGGGCCGCGTACCGCGCGCCAGATGCCCCGGGGCTGGTGGCTGTTTACCCAATGAAGAAGGAGACGAGCCTTTTCGAGGTGTTCGACGTCGCCCTGCACACCGTCCTCCTCTTCGGCGCGTCTTCTGCCGCGATCTCCGGCCTGCGCCGGCCCGCAGGGGCGACACAGATGGTGCAGATCCTCCCGGCTTCTGTTGACACTGCTCCGCTCAAAGCGGATGGCGTGGATATTGTGCTGCACGACGCGCGGGGTCACGCGTACGCCGGGTACGGCGTCGAGGCAGGTGAGACGGTGGTCGTGGTTGTGCGCCCCGATGGTGTCGTTGGCATGGTGCAGCGCGGGAGCGCGGAGGAAGCGGTGAAGGGCTTGGCACAGTATTTCGCAAAGATCTTCGGGTGAAAGATTTAGTACTAAGCACTATAATACATGGTTCAAGTTCAGCCTCTTGCTAATTGGCAGCGGATGACACGCACCTCGTCGGCGAAGTCACTGATCGCGAGCGACTCTCTGGCGCTTCACCCGCGGCCCAGCGCAAAGAGCCCAGCCTGAGGCAACGAACTTGAAGCCAGCCCTGCAACCTGGCAAGCTGCGCCCCTGTGACGAGTACAACGCGGACACCGTGCTGATGGCGGGGTGTAGTACAAGGCCTGGCCAGGCTCCAGCACGCCGTCATTGACTTCCTCGATTTGGAGAACAACGACACAAAGGCGCAGTGCCCGCGGTATTTGATGGAGGACCAGGCGGTGGTGGTGTCGCGCAGAGGCGAGGGCATGCAGCGGGAGCTGTTCAGCGCACGAGCGGGCGACCTCGACGATGGATTGAGCGGGGCATAAGATGGCCTGGGCGCACTGAGTCAACAGCACACAGCGGTTAATGCGCAAGAGCGGGTGGTGGTTGATGAAAAAGAAGCGGTGACAAGAATCCGGCATGCGGCGCCGAGGGCCGAGGCGGATTCCCACACAGCCTCAAGAAGTTTTCCTTCACCATCCACCGTGACACCGAACGCGCTTGCCACTGGTCTCACTCTCCCTCAACGGCAAGACGGCTCCAAAGCCAGCCGGGGCTGGGGGCCCCTCCTGCGGACTTCCCTTCCGTTTCTGCCGCCCTCTTCACGGCCCCGGACGACCCCGACTTGCTTAAAAACCTTTTCAATGCACACTACAGAAGACTCTGGCGTTGCGCTTACCTCTGGCGCCAACTGGGGCCCCTCCTGCCGACTCCCTTTCGCTCCCGCTGCCCTCCTCACGGCCCCGGACGACTCGCCCCGGCCTGCTCAATTCTTTTCAACGCGCTCGAACGAAGACACTAGGCGGCAACGCGGACGATACACTCGCCATTGTAGCTGGTGGAGCTCTGGGCGCAACTTCTGCCACCGCGCGCCATCGCGACGGTGGATCGGCGGGAAAATGGACACGCGCAAGGCGCCACACTCTGTCGTCCTTCGTGTGGCCTTGCGCAACGATCTGCTGGTTGGATCTGGGCTGGCGCCAGGCGCGACGCTGGCCAAATCTTGGCCATTTCGGCGGGTATGTGTCCGGAGATGATGCGTAAGCGTCAGAAGAGACTTCTGGGACACATCCCAGATGTCTCGACGCGTTTCGGCGGGCTATGTAGGGCCGCGCTCGCTGTCGACATTGGTCTGCACAAGATCGGTGAGCGCCGAGCTCAATTCTGGTCCGTTCCGGCTGAATTTCTCAGCGCAGGCAGAGTGCACGTCCTGCTCAATTCTTTTCAACGCGCTCGAACGAAGACACTAGGCGGCAACGCGGACGATACACTCGCCACTGTAGCTGGTGGAGAGTTCTGGGCGCACCTTCTGCCACCGCGCGCCATCGCGACGGTGGATCGACGGGAAAATGGACAGGCACCACGCGCCACACTCTGTCGTCCTTCGTGTGGCTTGCGCAACGATCTGCCGGTTGGATCTGGGCTGGCGCCAGGCGCGACGCTGGCCAAATCTTGGCAGTTTCGGCCACGATTGGTCCCGAGGTGCGCCTGGGACACATCCCAGATGTCTCGACGCGTTTCGGCGGTCTGCATCGGCCGCGCTCGCTGTCGACAGTGGTCTGCACAAGATCGGTGAGCGCCGAGCTCAATTCCGGTCCGTTCGGGCTGAATTTCTCAGCGCAGGCAGAGCGAACGCGGCCGTCCAGCCGCTGAAGTTTTCAAGACAAGCGGGCCAACGGCTGGCCCTGCGCTCGCCGATCTCTGGTGCGCGAAACTCGGGGCGGGTCGGCCGCGTTCTCACGCGTCCGGCCCAGGACCTTCAGGATGAGACGGGGCAATATGCCCCTCTATCCCCAGCGAGTTTCACGCGGGACGACTGCGGGCTTGGGTCAGCGCTGCCCGGCCAGGACTTTCCGCGGCCAGCGACGTTCCGCTGCCCTCGAACGAAAAAGGATTCTGGTCCTCCAGGGGCGGCGTACACGTCAAGAGAGACTCGCGAGACACATCCTAGATGCTCTCGATCCGTCTCCGCGGGCTATGTACTCCGCGTTCGCTGTGGACCGCGTTGTGCACACGATCGGTGAGCGCCGAGATCATTTCCGGCTCGTCCTGGCTCAAATCCTTAACGCAGACAGCGTTGGCTTGCTTCTTCAACTTCTCAAAGTTTGGAAGCGAACAGGCCAGCGGCTGGCCCTCCGCTCGCCGATCTCCGTTGCGCGAAACTCGAGCCTGGCGAGCCGAGTCCTCGCTCGTTCGGCCTGGCGCTTTCAGGGTGCGAAAGAGTGGTAATCCCCTCCAGATGCCGTGAATTTCAAACGACACAAGCCACTGTCTGGGTCTGCGCGGTCCTCCCGCTGTCTTCCGAGGCCAGGGGCGTTCCGGCCCGCATCGCGGCCGTTCGGCGTGGAAACTTGCGCCCGGACAGCGAGCATACGCCCGCCCATCTCCTGGGAATCGCAAGCGGAACGACGCCCTCGTCTTGCCGCAGCGCCGAAGTGAGTCCATCCAGCCCTTTTGCTGAATTTCACTCATGTATCGCACCAGCCAGCTCTCGCACAAGTCAAGCCCGACGTGCCCTGCGCGTTCTGCTTGCAAACAGCCGCCATTAGTACGCGCTTATTGCCGCGGGAGGTGTGGGGATGTCGTCTCATTGTAGGTTTTTTCAGATATTACCTCACTGCTCAGTCAATTTGCAGCCCGCAAATGCAACGAGGTGGCCACAGCGCTGTCGTCAAAGCCAATCCCCGAAGTACTTCCTTTACCGCGGCCCTTGACGAAGCTGGCACGGTGGCGATACTGCCGGGCTGGCTCGTAGTCGGCACCGCCGTGTATAAGTCTTCTGGCTCATCACAAACAGCATACTGACTGTCGTCGCAGCTCCCCGCGGTGTTGTTGCACGCGGTAATTATGTGCGCGACCGACCTTTGGAGGATTTGCAGAATGCGGGTGAGCTGCTTTCCGCACCGCATTCGAGTTGACTGCCAGTGAGAGTTGGTGACCGTGCCGGCCAGTCTTGCGGCACCGGCGGGCAGGTCTACAGAGCGGGTCTGGGACTAATACTAGGGTGGCACCAGTGCCGGGAGGAAGTCAGCAGCCCATCCGAGCCAAGTGCTCTTCTGCACCGACCGTGGAAAAAATATTATCTGCATGTAATTCACTTCTTCAACTGAATAATATCTGAACATATGAACCAGACTACACAATCTGTCATTGAAACTGTAGCCAAAACATTACATGCACCTAAGCTGATAATATATAATCGATGAACATCAGCTAAAATATTGAATTGAACCATTCATCCAATAAACATATCCTACACCGCCAACGGGTTTCCGGCTGTGACACAGCCGGAAAACTCCCGGTGGATACATCTGATGCCCAGCTGATTCCCGGATCAGTGCCACATATCCTAGACTATATGCATAGAAAAATGAACAATGGATGAAATAAATGAATAGATAGTTGATTACGTAATCACAGAACTAGCCTAAATCTCACTCTTGTCTATGATCCTTGTACTTAGGCCTATACCACATGGCCTCTAATAATCTTGCACAGGACACAGACTATAAACACAGAGATTGCGCTGAACTGTATAGCATAAGTCAGAAGATGTATCCAATCTTGATTGAGTGACCTCCATTTTTCTTTTTGATCTTCATTCAATTAAAGGCAATTTTGAACATGTACAAATAGTTAATTGAAATATTACAGTGATAGAACTTAAGGGAAACAGAAAAATAACAAATTATATGGATATATCACTCCAATATCCCATCAACTCACTCCCCAGTCCTTCATTGGGCATGAGAATGCTAAGTTTGTTGCCTTGATTTTTGGAAAGGGAGGGCCTAGCAGACAAGACTTGTCCTTCACCATAGATCATTTTTTGGCGCTGCCTGCCATATGATTGAGACAAGAATTCACATGCACCACAGCTTACATAATCATCCAATATGTACATTACAATTAACACAAGTTAAGATAGTTAAATTGGCAATAGAAATGCATAGAAAATAAATCAGGGGAACACATATTATATAAGCAAATAAGATTATCTCCTCAAGAATTTTCATATGATTTTTGCACTTAGCATGGAAAAAGTGAATCTGATAATAATGAAGCCTTATCACTTTGGTGAATAAAACTGGACTTGTCGGAAAGAGAATAAATAATGACTTGGATGGAAAAAATTATATCTATAAGTCTCACTTCATTAGGTGTTCAGCCCCAAATTGTCCCAGTGGTTCAGCAGGCTGGTGTGGATGGCTTGAAAGTATCTAATGTAAATTTTATTTACAGAGTAAAATCATATTTATTGAAAGATCCAAAATCTTTCAGTTATAGTTCAGGTGACGTCAGTGTGGCTTCTATACCCACACCTGCCGGAGCGGGCCTGGGACATCGGCAGGAATGGATACAGGCCACCCCGGATTTACCTATGGGTGGCCTATTATGAAAGTCATTCTAATGTCAGAGGCATCAAGCCTAATCTTATCACCAACATTGAGAGTAACATAACCTAGGCAAGCCAAAGTCACAATTTATACTTCCATTGTGGACCTCCATAACAAATAGGGGTAAATTCAATTTGGTGTTAAAACCCTATTTGTAGCCCTTTGGATGAAGTTTTCTTTTTGCAGAATCTAGCTTAGATATGTTTTATGGCAAGTCAACCATGCTAGTTTTTGGAGAGAATGTGGTCAGGAAATGTGCTTATGTAAGCAATACAATTGAAGATTCCATCAACATGTCCATATTGCTGATGTATCACATCAAGAGAAGAATTTAATCTAGTGATGGTTTTGAACTTGACTTGACTTAATGCATTTAGCCATTGCTAGTTTGACTTATTTAGAAAGTAAAGAATTTAGGTTAATTGGCAGATTTTACCCCAATCCAATTCTTTCATAAATATGATTCAGTTATAATATAAGCATAGCTATTGTGGTTCTAATAGATTTGAAGTAACCAGGAACATGCATTTGGCATTCAGGTTCAGTGAAGGCTGTTTCCGAACCAAACCTGGCCCTTGGTTCGGCCAGGTTTGGCCATTTTGGGCCAAAAAACAGCAGTTTGAGGTTGGTTCGAACCGCCATTCAACATCAATATTCAGCCAAATCTGATTTTGAACTGAACCAGCGGTCCAGCGTTCGGCCAAAAAGGGCCAAGAACGGGACTTGGCCATCACTAGAAGTGATGAGTTGACTGTGGGTGATGTTAGTGCTAAGAGATGAAAGCAAAATTTCATTTGAGTATCAGTTGATAGAGATTTATGATAGCTTTCTAACAATATATAAATGATCCTAAATGGATAAGAATTGGCCAACATATAAGTTTCAGGTGCAAAACACAGCACCTCAAAGAATTAATGTTTCATTTCCATTGGTTCAGTGAGCCAAATATAGAATCTTGGAAGGATTCTGTTTTTGCAGAATGCAGCAGTATAGACATGTTGTTAGTGCTTGCATCCTAAATAGTGAAGTTCAGTTCTTTGCCTATTTTGGCTGAATGGGTTTGGTTCAGAACCTGGATTCAGCAAACCTGAATGCCAAACCCTGCCTTTTTTGTGCAAAAGAGGCTGAACCCAAGCTGAATCTGGTTTGGAAAGGGTTTTGGCCAAATGCAAATACCAAACCTTAGTTCAGTCCAGTTAAGTTTAGGTTTGAACAGAAAGCCCAAATCAAAGTTGACCACCACTAATCATAAACTACACTAGGTGAAGTTTAAGCCATGTGATTAGTAGATACTATGAAAGCTTATGAAAATAATGCATTTCAGGATTCATATTCTTATTTTCCAAGAAATCCCACATGTCATTTTTGTCAATATACTTTGTGAGAGAAACTGAATTTATAGGTTTGAAACTGCTTTGAACTCATTTTGTTTCCCAACTCTATACCAAACTTTCATACTTGGAAAATATTAAATCTGGGTGTGATTCAAACTGATCTGACTGAGCATCCAAAGCTCAGCATAGATGGTTGAAGTCCCAATTAGGTTTTGAGGGTGTTCTACATTGTCAACCCCATTGATGTAAGGTGAAACATTTGTTCTCTTGATTAATACTAGTTCAGATCCACCCTTAAATATAGTTGAAATAGCTCTAGTAATCAGTGAAGAAAGAGATTCGCAGCATGCCTTCAAAAACATAGAGCATCAGGCTGACCAAAACCCCAAAATAGTCTGGTCATAGTTAATTTTGAATTAGAAGGGAAACATAGTCCAACATAGTGTTTCAAGAATTGTATGAAGCAGCTAAGAAACTGTAGGCCAAAATGAAATATGTGAGACACTTGGTATAGAAGCAAGGAAAATTTGGGTTAAGACCAATTCAAAGCACCAGTGAATACTGACCATACTTATTTGTGCAAACAGATAACAACTTGATATGGTACAAGGGGCAGTAGGAAGCAAAAGATCATTTCACTCAGATAGATAAACAGACAAGTAATGGTCATGATATAGTACAAGTAACAATTTTATTAAAACCATCAAGGAGCACTGATCATATTGAAGAGGTTTTCAAAATGTCTTTCTAATGATATATGAATCATTTTAAACCAACAGGAATTAACTGAGTTATACCACTAGCAGGTGATAGAGAATTTGAATACCTTTCTAATGGTATATAAATCATCCCAAACGGACAAGAATTGGTCAAGTTATGAGCCTAACACTATTTTGAAACTAGAGAAAAGTCAAGTTCAACTGGGGGGTTGAACCGGCCCTAAAGCGGACTTCCGCGGATTTCCACTCAAAAGACACTCGTGATTTTTCAATCTTTTGCATTTTGTGGGCTAACCATTGGGAATTGGGCTTAGGTCCAAACTGAACCAAGTCATTAATTTGTGATATCTACAACTTTCATTATTTGACCATGACCCTAAGGTGGAATTCCGCGGACTTCCACCTGGCAGTTAAGATGTCAGCTAGTAAAAGTCTGTAGTTTTGTATTCAATGATGTTCAAGTTGAAGGATGGTTTGTAGGCCTATTGAATACCTTTCTGGTCATATATGAACTGTCTTCAATAGTTAAGAACTCATTGAGTTATGGCCCTAACACTGTTTTGAAAACTCAGGGGACTTCCACCTGGCAGTTAAGTCAAGTTCAACTTTGCCTAAAGTGGAAATCCGCGGATTTCCACTCCAAAAGACACTCGTGATTTTTCACTTTTCTGTGTTTTATGGGCTAACCATTCACATTTAGGCTTAAGGCCAAACTGAACCTAGTGTTCGATTTTGAATATCTACAACTTTCATTAATTGAGCCGGCCCTAAAGTGGAGTCCGCGGATTTCCACCCTAAAAGACACTCGTGATTTTTCACTCTTTGTCAATTTATGAGCCAACCATTAATATTGAGCCTTAGGTCAAAACTGAACCTACTGTTCATTTTGTGATATCTACAAGCTCACAAAGTATGGAGTCATTTTGCCAGCCCTAAAGTGTTGGCAGTTCCAAGTCTTAGTTCAATTAACAATCAGGCTTAGCGCTCAGTGGTCAATCATAACTTGGCAAAGGTGCTGGCCCTAAAGTCCTGGCAGTTAATTACTTTAGGGCCAGTCTTATATATTTTATATACTAAGTCATTTATAAGGCCGGCCCTAGAGTCTATATTATTTATATATATAAGTCATTTATGGGGCCGGCCCTAAAGCGTGGAAAAAAAGAAAAAAATACCCATAGTACAGAAAGAGAAGCCAACATGAGTTGTGAATGCAGGAAGAGTACAATCAACCAGATGATCCACTTGAAGCAGAAGACTTTTGTTATTCTGACTTTTTTAGCAGTTTTGCTGAGTTGCCAATCAGGTGTAGTGGCTGTATGGGAGTTCACTACTCTCCCAACAGCTTAGTGGCAGTCTTAAGGAAGACTGCCAGACCAAAGAAAATGCCACAACCAAAAAGACAGCTACTAGCAAACCACTGACAAACACACTATGACCAACAGGTTGAGCTCAGCTCGGAAGGTGTTGAACCAACCTCGCTACCCGCAGGCTTACCATAGCATATCCTATCTCCGCCAATTTAATGAAGCACAGACCAGACTGATCCACTTTCACTGTCTCCCCCAGAACCCACAATAGGAAGAGCAGGGTCATTGAAGCCAAGCTACTCTTCCATATATAAGGCAGGCCCACCCCCAGCCCACCCCAAGTCCAAATCGCGAGACAGAGGTGTGAAAAGCGCTGTCCACAATTTCACGCACTCGGAGTCCGCAGCAAGTCCGCAGATAGTAACTTGAACTCGGGCACAACACAAATATTATTTCTTTTTTTACACAACATGGGTGGAGAAATGTGTGGTACAGTCTGCGGTAAATGAATCTATTTGCGCAAGCTCAATTCTGAACACTGAAGCTCATCTGCCATTCATTTCTCCTCCGACATTCCCCGTGCAGACGAGCCGCAGTTCCAGCCGCGCCGTGCGGTAAGCGCGCCTTACGCCGTCACGATCACCGTCGAAGACGCCGTGCCACAATGTCAGCCGGCTTACGCGCTTCACTACCTGGGCGGCCCAACATGTCATCGGCGTATTTCCGCGTCTCTCAGGCTATCTACTTCCAGTATGCACGTCCCGGCTGGCAACTGCGCAGGCGACGCGTCGCTGCGGCCATCAGGGTGTCTGAACGTGTCGGCGCTGGCGGAGGATAGCGATCTATTTGCTGCTCTGGCCCACTGGCAGTATGCACACATATATAAGCGAGGGCCGACAGCAGCCTGGAAGAACTCAAATCTACAGAAACCTGAACAACGATGGAAACCGAACCGCAAGTGCTCATCGTGCGTTCATCTCAGGGTCCGGGAATTGGCCAAACAGTAGCTCAGCGTTCTGCAGGCCGGCGCGGGCCCCTCCGGGCTCGTACTTGCGCTCATCCTCCGGCGCAGCGGCGTGCGCGTGCGGATCATCGACAAGGAGCCGGCTTACCGCCCCGGGAGCCGCGGCTCGGGCGTGCAGGCGCGCACGCTCGAGCTCTACGCCCAGCTCGGCCTATACCAAGAAATCGCCGCTTGCGGGGCGGAGATCCCGAACATCGCCCTGTACAAGCCGGGCAAGGAAAATCTGACGCCGCAGAAGGAGTTCAGGCTGACGGAGCGGGCGGAGGCGACGCCGGGGATGCCATACGTGAGGATTTATATTCTTAAGAGGGAACATTGATGGATTTGACAGCCGAACGCGCTGAACATCCCGCAAGACGCGCACGAGGCGGTGCTGCGCGGCGCGCTTGTGGGGCTGGGCTGCACCGTCGAGCTCGGCGTGGAGCTGACCAAGTTTAGTCAGCACTCCGACGGTGTCCGCACCACGCTCAAACACGCCGACGGCACGGAAGAAGTTGCCGAGGCCGCGTGGCTGGTCGGCGCGGACGGCGCGCACAGTGTCGTGCGCAAAGGCCTGGGGCTGAATTTCCTCGGTGAGACGCATGAGGAGCAGGAGATGCTGATCGGGGATATCGAGGTCGACGGTGTGTCTCCCGGGGTAAGTTTCGTGCTTTCCTTTGGCGCTAACTAACTTATTTCTATAGTTGTGGCACATGTGGGCCGACCCGCCGCGCACGATGGTGCTCCGCAGCGCGACGCCCGACTCCAACCTCTTCATGTTCGCGTACGTCCCCGGCACGCCCGGCGCGGTGCAGCACGCCGGGCCGTTCACCCGGGACGAGTTCGTCGAGACGTTTTATGAGGTCACACAGCGCACGGACATCACGTTCGGGAGGGCGACGTGGCTGTCGCGCTATCGGCCGAACATGCGCATGGTGGATCAGATGCGGGCGGGCCGCGTGTTCGTCGCAGGGGGTACGCCATGCCAGAATCCCCCTTACTTATCTGACTGATGATTTAGATGCTGCACACTGCCATAGCCCTGCCGGAGGCCAAGGCCTCAACTCGAGTGTTCAAGACGCGGCGAACCTCGCGTGGAAGCTCGCGCTCGTGATCAACCACCATGCCCCCGAAGCGCTGCTCGACACATACGCCGAGGAGCGCCTCCGCGTGATCGCACAGATGTTACAACTCACAACTGCCTTGTACAACTCCACGTTTGACGCGCTCCGGGTGCGTGCATATATATTGTGGTCGACCCCTTGTTCTTCCGCTGATGTTTTCTTCTAGTTGAAGCAGCAGCTCGACGCGGACGGCACCGAGGATGCACCGATGGGCACGGACAGGAACGGCGCAGGGCTATCCATGCTCGGCGTGAACTACTCCGGGAGCTCCATCATCGCCGAGGACAACGACGCCGGCCCCGCCCCGGCGTACGCGCCGGGCTTCGCAGAGACCGGCGTCCGGGCCGCGTACCGCGCGCCAGATGCCCCGGGGCTGGTGGCTGTTTACCCAATGAAGAAGGAGACGAGCCTTTTCGAGGTGTTCGACGTCGCCCTGCACACCGTCCTCCTCTTCGGCGCGTCTTCTGCCGCGATCTCCGGCCTGCGCCGGCCCGCAGGGGCGACACAGATGGTGCAGATCCTCCCGGCTTCTGTTGACACTGCTCCGCTCAAAGCGGATGGCGTGGATATTGTGCTGCACGACGCGCGGGGTCACGCGTACGCCGGGTACGGCGTCGAGGCAGGTGAGACGGTGGTCGTGGTTGTGCGCCCCGATGGTGTCGTTGGCATGGTGCAGCGCGGGAGCGCGGAGGAAGCGGTGAAGGGCTTGGCACAGTATTTCGCAAAGATCTTCGGGTGAAAGATTTAGTACTAAGCACTATAATACATGGTTCAAGTTCAGCCTCTTGCTAATTGGCAGCGGATGACACGCACCTCGTCGGCGAAGTCACTGATCGCGAGCGACTCTCTGGCGCTTCACCCGCGGCCCAGCGCAAAGAGCCCAGCCTGAGGCAACGAACTTGAAGCCAGCCCTGCAACCTGGCAAGCTGCGCCCCTGTGACGAGTACAACGCGGACACCGTGCTGATGGGGGGGTGTAGTACAAGGCCTGGCCAGGCTCCAGCACGCCGTCATTGACTTCCTCGATTTGGAGAACAACGACACAAAGGCGCAGTGCCCGCGGTATTTGATGGAGGACCAGGCGGTGGTGGTGTCGCGCAGAGGCGAGGGCATGCAGCGGGAGCTGTTCAGCGCACGAGCGGGCGACCTCGACGATGGATTGAGCGGGGCATAAGATGGCCTGGGCGCACTGAGTCAACAGCACACAGCGGTTAATGCGCAAGAGCGGGTGGTGGTTGATGAAAAAGAAGCGGTGACAAGAATCCGGCATGCGGCGCCGAGGGCCGAGGCGGATTCCCACACAGCCTCAAGAAGTTTTCCTTCACCATCCACCGTGACACCGAACGCGCTTGCCACTGGTCTCACTCTCCCTCAACGGCAAGACGGCTCCAAAGCCAGCCGGGGCTGGGGGCCCCTCCTGCGGACTTCCCTTCCGTTTCTGCCGCCCTCTTCACGGCCCCGGACGACCCCGACTTGCTTAAAAACCTTTTCAATGCACACTACAGAAGACTCTGGCGTTGCGCTTACCTCTGGCGCCAACTGGGGCCCCTCCTGCCGACTCCCTTTCGCTCCCGCTGCCCTCCTCACGGCCCCGGACGACTCGCCCCGGCCTGCTCAATTCTTTTCAACGCGCTCGAACGAAGACACTAGGCGGCAACGCGGACGATACACTCGCCATTGTAGCTGGTGGAGCTCTGGGCGCAACTTCTGCCACCGCGCGCCATCGCGACGGTGGATCGGCGGGAAAATGGACACGCGCAAGGCGCCACACTCTGTCGTCCTTCGTGTGGCCTTGCGCAACGATCTGCTGGTTGGATCTGGGCTGGCGCCAGGCGCGACGCTGGCCAAATCTTGGCCATTTCGGCGGGTATGTGTCCGGAGATGATGCGTAAGCGTCAGAAGAGACTTCTGGGACACATCCCAGATGTCTCGACGCGTTTCGGCGGTCTGCATCGGCCGCGCTCGCTGTCGACAGGGCTCTGCACAAGATCGGTGAGCGCCGAGCTCAATTCTGGTCCGTTCGGGCTGAATTTCTCAGTGCAGGCAGAGCGCACGTGGGCGTCTAGCCGCTGAAGTTTTCAAGACAAGCGGGCCAACGGCTGGCCCTGCGCTCGCCGATCTCTGCTGTGCGAAACTCGGGGCCGGTCGGCCGCGTTCTCACGCGTCCGGCCCAGGACCTTCAGGATGAGACGGGGCAATATGCCCCTCTATCCCCAGCGAGTTTCACGCGGGACGACTGCGCGCTTGGGTCAGCGCTGCCCGGCCAGGACTTTCCGCGGCCAGTGACGTTCTCGGCCGTCTCTGGGCCGCTGCCCTCGAACGAAAAAGCATTCTGGTCCTCCAGGGGCGGCGTACACGTCAAGAGAGACTCGCGAGACACATCCTAGATGCTCTCGATCCGTCTCGGCGGGCTATGTACTCCGCGTTCGCTGTTGACCGCGTTGTGCACACGATCGGTGAGCGCCGAGATCATTTCCTGCTCGTCCTGGCTCAAATCCTTAACGCAGACAGCGTTAGCTTGCTTCTTCAACTTCTCAAAGTTCGGAAGCGAACAGGCCAGCGGCTGGCCCTCCGCTCGCCGATCTCCGTTGCGCGAAACTCGAGCCTAGCGAGCCGAGTCCTCGCTCGTTCGGCCTGGCGCTTTCAGGGTGCGGAGGAGTGGTAATCCCCTCCAGATGCCGTGAATTTCAAACGACACAAGCCACTGTCTGGGTCTGCGCGGTCCTCCCGCTGTCTTCCGAGGCCAGGGGCGTTCCGGCCCGCATCGCGGCCGTTGGGCGGGGAAACTTGCGCCCGGACAGCGAGCATACGCCCGCCCATCTTCTGGGAATCGCAAGCGGAACGACGCCCTCGTCTTGCCGCAGCGCCGAAGTGAGTCCATCTAGCCCTTTTGCTGAATCCAACTCATGTATTGCAGCAGCCAGCTCTCGCACAAGTCAAGCCCGACGTGCCCTGCGCGTTCTGCTTGCAAACAGCCGCCATTAGTACGCGCTTATTGCCGCGGGAGGTGTGGCTGTGTCGTCTCATTGTAGGTGTTTTCAGATACTACCCTCACTGCTCAGTGCTCAACCGTCAATTTGCAGCCCGCAAATTCAGTATCGCGAGCTGGGTCACAGCGCTGTCGTCAAAGCCAATCCCCGAAGTACTTCCTTTACCGCGGCCCTTGACGAAGCTGGCACGGTGGCGATACTGCCGGGCTGGCTCCGAGTCGTAGTCGGCACCGCCGTGTATAAGTCTTCTGGCTCATCACAAACGGCATACTGACTGTCGTCGCAGCTCCCCGCGGTGTTGTTGCACGCGGTAATTATGTGCGGGACCGACCTTTGGAGGAGTTGCAGAAGGCGGGTGAGATGCTTTCCGCACCGCATTCGAGTTGACTGCCAGTGAGAGTTGGTGACCGTGCCGGCCAGTCTTGCGGCACCGGCGGGCAGGTCTACAGAGCGGGTCTGGGACTAATACTAGGGTGGCACCAGTGCCGGGAGGAAGTCAGCAGCCCATCCGAGCCAAGTGCTCTTCTGCACCGACCGTGAAAAAAATATTATCTCAATGTAATTCCCTTATTCAACTGAATAATATCTGAACATATGAACCAGACTACAAAATCTGTCATTGAAACTGTAGCCAAAAACTAAGCTGATAATATATAATTGATGAACATAAGCTAAAATATTGGATTGAACCATTCATCCAATAAACATATCCTAGACTATATGCATAGAAAAATGGATGAAATAAATGAATAGATAGTTGATTATGTAATCACAGAACTAGCTCAAATCTCACTCTTGTCTATGATCCTTGTACTTAGGCCTATACCACATGGCCTCTGGAATAATCTTGCACAGGACGCAGACTATAAACACAGAGATTGCGCTGAACTGTATAGCATAAGTCAGAAGATGTATCCAATCTTGATTGAGTGACCTCCATTTTTCTTTTTGATCTTCATTCAATTAAAGGCAATTTTGAACATGTACAAATAGTTAATTGAAATATTACAGTGATAGAACTTAAGGGAAACAGAAAAATAACAAATTATATGGATATATCACTCCAATATCCCATCAACTCACTCCCCAGTCCTTCATTGGGCATGAGAATGCTAAGTTTGTTGCCTTGATTTTTGGAAAGGGAGGGCCTAGCAGACAAGACTTGTCCTTCACCATAGATCATTTTTGGCGCTGCCTGCCATATGATTGAGACAAGAATTCACATGCACCACAGCTTACATAATCATCCAATATGTACATTACAATTAACACAAGTTAAGATAGTTAAATTGGCAATAGAAATGCATAGAAAATAAATCAGGGGAACACATATTATATAAGCAAATAAGATTATCTCCTCAAGAATTTTCATATGATTTTTGCACTTAGCATGGAAAAAGTGAATCTGATAATAATGAAGCCTTATCACTTTGGTGAATAAAACTGGACTTGTCGGAAAGAGAATAAATAATGACTTGGATGGAAAAAATTATATCTATAAGTCTCACTTCATTAGGTGTTCAGCCCCAAATTGTCCCAGTGGTTCAGCAGGCTGGTGTGGATGGCTTGAAAGTATCTAATGTAAATTTTATTTACAGAGTAAAATCATATTTATTGAAAGATCCAAAATCTTTCAGTTATAGTTCAGGTGACGTCAGTGTGGCTTCTATACCCACACCTGCCGGAGCGGGCCTGGGACATCGGCAGGAATGGATACAGGCCACCCCGGATTTACCTATGGGTGGCCTATTATGAAAGTCATTCTAATGTCAGAGGCATCAAGCCTAATCTTATCACCAACATTGAGAGTAACATAACCTAGGCAAGCCAAAGTCACAATTTATACTTCCATTGTGGACCTCCATAACAAATAGGGGTAAATTCAATTTGGTGTTAAAACCCTATTTGTAGCCCTTTGGATGAAGTTTTCTTTTTTGCAGAATCTAGCTTAGATATGTTTTATGGCAAGTCAACCATGCTAGTTTTCGGAGAGAATGTGGTCAGGAAATGTGCTTATGTAAGCAATACAATTGAAGATTCCATCAACATGTCCATATTGCTGATGTATCACATCAAGAGAAGAATTTAATCTAGTGATGGTTTTGAACTTGACTTGACTTAATGCATTTAGCCATTGCTAGTTTGACTTATTTAGAAAGTAAAGAATTTAGGTTAATTGGCAGATTTTACCCCAATCCAATTCTTTCATAAATATGATTCAGTTATAATATAAGCATAGCTATTGTGGTTCTAATAGATTTGAAGTAACCAGGAACATGCATTTGGCATTCAGGTTCAGTGAAGGCTGTTTCCGAACCAAACCTGGCCCTTGGTTCAGCCAGGTTTGGCCATTTTGGGCCAAAAAACAGCACTTTGAGGTTGGTTCGAACCGCCATTCAACATCAATATTCAGCCAAATCTGATTTTGAACTGAACCAGCGGTCCAGCGTTCGGCCAAAAAGGGCCAAGAACGGGACTTGGCCATCACTAGAAGTGATGAGTTGACTGTGGGTGATGTTAGTGCTAAGAGATGAAAGCAAAATTTCATTTGAGTATCAGTTGATAGAGATTTATGATAGCTTTCTAACAATATATAAATGATCCTAAATGGATAAGAATTGGCCAACATATAAGTTTCAGGTGCAAAACACAGCACCTCAAAGAATTAATGTTTCATTTCCATTGGTTCAGTGAGCCAAATATAGAATCTTGGAAGGATTCTGTTTTTGCAGAATGCAGCAGTATAGACATGTTGTTAGTGCTTGCATCCTAAATAGTGAAGTTCAGTTCTTTGCCTATTTTGGCTGAATGGGTTTGGTTCAGAACCTGGATTCAGCAAACCTGAATGCCAAACCCTGCCTTTTTTGTGCAAAAGAGGCTGAACCCAAGCTGAATCTGGTTTGGAAAGGGTTTTGGCCAAATGCAAATACCAAACCTTAGTTCAGTCCAGTTAAGTTTGGGTTTGAACAGAAAGCCCAAATCAAAGTTGACCACCACTAATCATAAACTACACTAGGTGAAGTTTAAGCCATGTGATTAGTAGATACTATGAAAGCTTATGAAAATAATGCATTTCAGGATTCATATTCTTATTTTCCAAGAAATCCCACATGTCATTTTTGTCAATATACTTTGTGAGAGAAACTGAATTTATAGGTTTGAAACTGCTTTGAACTCATTTTGTTTCCCAACTCTATACCAAACTTTCATACTTGGAAAATATTAAATCTGGGTGTGATTCAAACTGATCTGACTGAGCATCCAAAGCTCAGCATAGATGGTTGAAGTCCCAATTAGGTTTTGAGGGTGTTCTACATTGTCAACCCCATTGATGTAAGGTGAAACATTTGTTCTCTTGATTAATACTAGTTCAGATCCACCCTTAAATATAGTTGAAATAGCTCTAGTAATCAGTGAAGAAAGAGATTCGCAGCATGCCTTCAAAAACATAGAGCATCAGGCTGACCAAAACCCCAAAATAGTCTGGTCATAGTTAATTTTGAATTAGAAGGGAAACATAGTCCAACATAGTGTTTCAAGAATTGTATGAAGCAGCTAAGAAACTGTAGGCCAAAATGAAATATGTGAGACACTTGGTATAGAAGCAAGGAAAATTTGGGTTAAGACCAATTCAAAGCACCAGTGAATACTGACCATACTTATTTGTGCAAACAGATAACAACTTGATATGGTACAAGGGGCAGTAGGAAGCAAAAGATCATTTCACTCAGATAGATAAACAGACAAGTAATGGTCATGATATAGTACAAGTAACAATTTTATTAAAACCATCAAGGAGCACTGATCATATTGAAGAGGTTTTCAAAATGTCTTTCTAATGATATATGAATCATTTTAAACCAACAGGAATTAACTGAGTTATACCACGAGCAGGTGATAGAGAATTTGAATACCTTTCTAATGGTATATAAATCATCCCAAACGGACAAGAATTGGTCAAGTTATGAGCCTAACACTATTTTGAAACTAGAGAAAAGTCAAGTTCAACTGGGGGGTTGAACCGGCCCTAAAGCGGACTTCCGCGGATTTCCACTCAAAAGACACTCGTGATTTTTCAATCTTTTGCATTTTGTGGGCTAACCATTGGGAATTGGGCTTAGGTCCAAACTGAACCAAGTCATTAATTTGTGATATCTACAACTTTCATTATTTGACCATGACCCTAAGGTGGAATTCCGCGGACTTCCACCTGGCAGTTAAGATGTCAGCTAGTAAAAGTCTGTAGTTTTGTATTCAATGATGTTCAAGTTGAAGGATGGTTTGTAGGCCTATTGAATACCTTTCTGGTCATATATGAACTGTCTTCAATAGTTAAGAACTCATTGAGTTATGGCCCTAACACTGTTTTGAAAACTCAGGGGACTTCCACCTGGCAGTTAAGTCAAGTTCAACTTTGCCTAAAGTGGAAATCCGCGGACTTCCACTTCAAAAGACACTCGTGATTTTTCACTTTTCTGTGTTTTATGGGCTAACCATTCACATTTAGGCTTAAGGCCAAACTGAACCTAGTGTTCGATTTTGAATATCTACAACTTTCATTAATTGAGCCGGCCCTAAAGTGGAGTCCGCGGATTTCCACCCTAAAAGACACTCGTGATTTTTCACTCTTTGTCAATTTATGAGCCAACCATTAACATTGAGCCTTAGGTCAAAACTGAACCTAGTGTTCATTTTGTGATATCTACAAGCTGACAAAGTATGGAGTCATTCTGCCAGCCCTAAAGTGTTGGCAGTTCCAAGTCTTAGTTCAATTAACAATCAGGCTTAGGGCTCAGTGGTCAATCATAACTTGGCAAAGTTGCTGGCCCTAAAGTCCTGGCAGTTAATTACTTTAGGGCCAGTCTTATATATTTTATATACTAAGTCATTTATAAGGCCGGCCCTAGAGTCTATATTATTTATATATATAAGTCATTTATGGGGCCGGCCCTAAAGCGTGGGAAAAAAAGAAAAAAATACCCATAGTACAGAAAGAGAAGCCAACATGAGTTGTGAATGCAGGAAGAGTACAATCAACCAGATGATCCACTTGAAGCAGAAGACTTTTGTTATTCTGACTTTTTTAGCAGTTTTACTGAGTTGCCAATCAGGTGTAGTGGCTGTATGGGAGTTCACTACTCTCCCAACAGCTTAGTGGCAGTCTTAAGGAAGACTGCCAGACCAAAGAAAATGCCACAACCAAAAAGACAGCTACTAGCAAACC